CAGGTGAGCTTCAGGAAGCTGGCAGTGGTTCTGCCGTATTCACAAAACATCCAGAAGCACCAAGAAGATTTAAAGGACCATTCCGCTTTATTTCAGCCTGCTGTGCTTTCCATTCACGTGTCTGTGGTGTGTCTATGCCCAAATGTCTACAAAGATGAAGGAGAGCAGAACAGGCTGAAACGAAGCAGAAATATTTGAAGGTTCAGAGGATTGTGCTTTAAACTTGAGTTGATAACAAATATCAAAGGATCTAATCAGCATAAGAAACTAACTGTCCAATCAGGAGTCCAGAGAATTAAAGACCTGGATCCACAGTCTGAATAAGGGAGCTGCTCAGTGCAGAATGATAGTTAGCATGCTCATCATGTCTGCAGCACAGTGAGCAGAATGTGAAACAGTCTCAGGTCCTTAGTTTGTGTCTTTGGGATGAAAGTGAATCTATCAGAGGTGGAACGAGGTGCTCTGTGAATACGACTCTGGCACCGCTTCCTCCTTCTTACCAGGAGAGACGAACAGGAGCAGAGCGTCCTGCCTGCAGCTGCTAGCTGACCTGCAGGGAACAGGTGAGGAGGCAGGTAGACCAACCAGTCAACACAGATAACAACACCTGCTAACAGCTTCCAGCAGCATCCTGACTCACACGCTAAAGAACTGGACAACAGTCACTGTGACAGATTCCTGCACACATTTGCTCATTGGTGATTATTTTTGTTTGAATACAGAAAAAAACCCTGACAGGCTGAAGGACAAAAGGATGCCATGCAGCTCCGAAATGAACAGGTGTGGATAATCCTGGCAGGGTGCACAGCCTTAATAAGTGTAAACTTGCTAGCTGTTGATGAACAGTGGTGGATGTTCACCTTAAAAACGGCCAAAGCTTCTAATAATGAGCTTAGTGTACCTACAGTAACCCCCGTGATCCAAAAGACCTCACACAGTTTTTTCTACTCCTGGCTCTGAATGATGTCAGCAACAGAGGAAATCCCTAATATGGTTATCTGAGGCAAAGAAGCCCCACCCACCTGTTGTTCAAACACTGTTTTTGAGGGGCAACCAATCGGAAGGAAGCTGACTTACAAGGGGAGGAGCTAAAACAGCTTGTTTCATGAACCACAGCAGCAGCAAGGCCCACTGTGTAGAATAAGTGAGGCTTATTTTGAAATGTGAATCATGCAAAGCTGCTCTGGCACAGTCCACAAATAAAAACAGAACAAAATGAAGCACTTTAAACAAATGCACTACCAAACGTTTCACATACTGTGTCAGAAAATTAAGCAGAACTCCTCTCTGTCTGCAGTTTGTGCATCGCCTGTGACGGCTGCTTTCACACAGCTGTCAGGATTACTCAGGACAGCCCGCTGTAACCCTCTCAGCTTGGAGCTGTCGCACACTCGGCCTCCGTTCACTCACCATGTGTTCGATGCCGCTGTACTCGCCCTCCGTGTTCTCCCGGATGGTGACCAGGTTGACATCGGTGTACGGAGTCTTGTAGCCCTCGATGGAGACGCAGGGCCTCACGTTTGCGTAAAGGTCAAAGGTCTTCCTGAGCAGCAGGTTCATGGAGGGGTGACCTGCAGCGATGGGTGTCTTCAGGGGTCCTGATGGAGAAAAAAAAAAGTAAAAAACAAAAAACACTGACGAGCAGGAATCTTCCAGGAAATCTGTCTAAAGGTAACGGACACGTGCAGACCTTTCAGACCGATCTTGCTCCGGTCCATGGACTCTTTGGCATCAGGAGGGATCATCCATCTGCCGCCAGGTCCCTTTATCGCCGTCACGTTCCTCTCCTCCCACGTGATTGGAGCCTTCAGAGGAAAATTCTATTTAGAAACTGATCCAAAACCAATCAGTGCCTCCCACCTGACCCTCTTAGAATAGCCAGCAGTGCTTTGTATTTATTTATTTCCAGCACGTTGAGCTCACATAACTTTATAAGAAAAGGTGATATCACATGAAATTTTCAGGGCTGAAAACACACTAAAGATTTATCAAAATCCTCTAACGCAGGGGTGTCAAAGTCCAGTCCATATCTGTGACACAGAGGAACAGAAAAGTGCATGGATCCCCTGAAGGTTTGCTCTATATTCTGATCATTTACTCGAGAAAACTTAAATAAAAAGTGTATTTTGGGTAACCCTTGAAGGGTACAAAGAACTAAAGAAGTTACGAGAGATGAAAAATGGTGGAAAAAACCAGGCAAATTAGAACACACCAGCTATCTTCCATGTACTTCGAGGTGCTTATAACTCAGAAAATACCCACAGCATTAAAGTACATTTTTTCATGGCTTTATTAAATATGTTAAAGTTACTGCTCCAAAAATCCGCTGACTCTGAGAGGACTCAGGTGAGATCATTTTCCAGATTTGGCCTCTAAAGTCTGATCAAACTTGCCTTTGCTGCTTCAAAGATCTTCATGACAGCAGCGGAGATCTCTGGACCGATTCCATCACCGGGAATCATGGTGACTGTCTTCACCTGCAGAGACAGAGAGACACAACTCAGACAGCTGGAGCAGATCACAGTCCAGCCGAGATCAAGGTCTCTGCTTTCATGTAAAACATTTCCTGTTATTTATAAATGGATTTTCTGGGAGTTGTGAAGCGAAAAGCATCTCTTTGATTGCATCCCAGGAAGGCAGAGGTGGAGCTACTCACCCCTCTTGAAAAGGAGGCTGAAGCCAGAGCCGGTTTTCTGACCGCCACCCCCACTGCCTGGGTCAGCTGGAAGAGACGACATAAAGGTCAACTCAACACAAAACACACCAAAGCAGCTCAAAAACAACCTGATCATGATGGTTAGTCTGTGTTCAGCTGTTTGAAAACACTTGCTGTTGATGTGTAAAACAAAACTGCAAAGAATCACCTTGATTATTTGCTGCTGAGGCTTGAAACACTCCTAATAATTCATATTATAACATTTAAAAATGACTTGAGGAGCTTATATGTACAAACTTTAAGTTCTAGGGCTAAATTCAAGCATCAGTAACAAATTACAAGAAGGGAGAAAATTATTACCACCACTTCCGCTGTTCTGTTTTGTAGTTCCTTTGTATGCTGATGTTGATTATTTTTGGATAATGTAGTATATCTCTCACATTTTTTACTGCCAATTACATTACGGTGACTTTTTTCAATGCCGAGTTTATCTCAGGAGCCTCACATTATTTGACATCTTTTCCGTCAGTTAAAACGGGACCTGGAATTTAATCATAGTACGAGTTCAAGGTAAATTGCTTTATTTAAAAAGGGAGTCTGGTGTTCGTCTCCACATTAGTTAAAGCAAACATTTCTCAGCAGCCACACCTAGTTTGAGTCTACCAAGAACTAGCTACATGTTGAATTTCATGTATGCCGAAGTTATCAGAGGATATCCACTTTCCGTGAAATGTTTTCAACTAACTTCTACGATCTAATGATTCCATCTAAACTCTAAACTGAGCTTAAATTCGTGCAAATTTAAAGGAGGCTGACGTTGGTTTCTCCGTCACTCTAGTATGGATTTGGGGATCACAGAGAACTAAAGAGCAGAAAGAGCTGGACAGGTCGACGTATTGTCAAGGTAACCAGATTGAGGTTGGCGGAGGGGAATATGTAAAGTCAAAGTTGTATTAGACAGGTGAGACGAGGGTAAACGTCTCCGTCAGCTCCAGAAGCTTCCGTTCACGTGAAGGACGTGGGTTCCTGGCTAAGAGCTAACCAAGGTACATCAGCTCGAAAAACACGCGGAGAGCGCGTAAAGACAGACAAAGTCACAAACACAGGCTTCAGGACACACACACAGCCCCGTTCATCTATAACACACAGAGCTTTGGTGGTCTAAAACCGGGAATAAACACGGTGCTTCTTACCAGTGACCTCCACGCGTTGCCTGCCATTCTGCTCAGGAAGAGCTCTCCGAGATCGTCTCTGGAGGTGATGACTCACTCCGAGCTGCTGCCGAAAACCAGCCTGGACAGAGACCCTGTGCGAGCAAGATGACTCACTCCGAGAGATCTTTGTGGCTGTACGAGTCATTGACGCCACAGGCTGTTTTTGGCGCCACCTGCTGGACGCTGCACCACCATGAGTATTAGTGCTGCCTTCAGGAGCAATTAGGAAGATCCGAATCTGCACAAACAAGGCAAAAAGGCGCTACTCTCCAGTCATCACCGTGATGAGAACATATTAAAAGTTTGTTCACTTCTCTTTTGTTTTTTTATTTGCTGTAATTAGGCTGTTTTTTTTTAGTGGTTGCCATGTCTATTAATTATATCTTTTTTTGTTCCTCACTTAGTTTTATTTCTTTACTTATTTATTGGACAAAATGTATGTTTGTGTGAAACAAGAGAATTCGATTTATGTCATTTGAAAAATACACCTGTGTACATTACTTACCCCCTGGTGTCTGAGTAGTTTTTTGATTCTGAGGTTTATATTTTGAGAAAGAGCCACTGCTCCTGCTCTACCCAACACTTGATGTCCACTGTCAGAGCTTTAATCTCTAGACCTGCATGTAAAAAAAAAACACACTCAGACTCGTGTGCGTGCACTTTTGTTATTGACTTTACTTTGTTTACTGTGAGCTTAGAATCTGTGGCTCTAAGCTCAGAGCTGTGGCTTAGTGTTCAAATGATGTCTGGGATCTGATGGCACGGAACAGCCAGTCTAACATTCATCTTGAGAAAGAAAATCTGCAAACATAAATATCTGTATTTATTTTAGCATAACTTTATTATTATAAAAGGAAAAGAAACAAACAATACATGAAAAATCAGTTGAAAAAGAAAATGGGTTTTACAACTTTTACGCTGATTCAACCCAAGCTGGAAAGCAGATCGAAGAAATGTGTGGTTGAAATAAAGAAAGATGGATATAAAGTTATAAAAAGTAATTTATTTAACATAAAAATAAACAAAACAAAAAATAAACAAACATTCTGATAAAGTCATCTAACAGATTAATCTAATGATGTAATTCCAGAATTTCTTCCTGCATTTACAGTTCATGGTTTTCCAAGCAGCAGCTGAAAGCAGCACTGTGATGCCTGCACCTCCTCCTCCTGTCCTCTGAGGCGTCACAATCCTGTTTTCCTCCGCGTTGGGACCAGCAGCAGCAGCAGCAGCAGCAGCATCAGGCTCGCAGACTGAGACCCGGATCAGGAGAGTGGATGTCCCGGCTGTGCGCAGACCTGCTGCCGGATGCAAAGCCAGCTCAGAGTGTGATGCAGCTGTGTGATGGGAGGATCCGCCGGCCAGGATGGGCAACAAGCAGACAACCTTCACCGAGGAACAGCTGGAGGCGTATCAGGTGAGGGGGGGCAGGATGGAGGCGGACAGCTGGATGTCCTTCAGAGAGGCGTGAAAGGTGGAGAGGTGTCTGCCTTCATGGCTCAGCAGAACGCAGACCACATCAGATCTGCCTCCTGCTGCTGATTGGCTCTGCATCCTGCTGCACTGGATGATGATGATGATGATGATGGTGGTGGTAGTGGTGAAGATGCTGACTGATGGTGAAAGCAGATCCTCCCTGAGGACTGGCCGCTCTGACTCACTTTCTTCGTCTCTCTGTTTGTTCCCAGGACTGCACCTTCTTCACCCGGAAGGAAATCCTGCGGTGAGTGTGGCGCACGGCGAAAGTCTGCTGGTCTTCTTTTCTTTTTGAATCTACACCTTCATCACTCACTGAGGGAGAGGAACGACTGCAGCTCGGCTATTTTTCCTGCTGTGTATTGTAGGCGCAATGTGTTTACACAATGGTTTTGATGATTGGCTTTACTGTACTGGGATCTACTAAACTCACACTGAACGCAGCGCGCTTGGAGTATATTTTAATAGCTGATTGACTCATTTTAACGAAGCACAAAAGGAAACACTTTATATGCTTCACACACCTGTCCTGCATGGTGATACGACCCTTCAAAGTTTACTCAAAATGCACTTTTTGAAGTTTTCTCCAATAAGTAATTAGAAACAGATCAAACATCCACTGGTGGTATTTCTGTTCCTCTACATCAAAGTGGATGTTACTAATGCTCAGAAAAGGTTACAGGAAGAATTGTACCAAACAAAAACCACATTTTAGCTTCAGATTGTGACACTTAGAGTGGGCTTAAAGTGGATTTGGGTTGCATGCTTTAAACAGAGCTTAAATGAGTTTTTCAGCACTGGAAAGATCTCGTGTAGTCATGACGTTGTGAAGAAACAAAAATGCTGGGAAAAAATTTGTGCAAAATTTCCACCCACACCTATGCACCTCCAGGACCTGCAGCTCCACCTGTTTTCATAGTATGAGGTTAAACTGTTCAGTAGACTGAAGTGAGATTAACTGAGCTGATTTCAAACATCAAAACTGGATTTTTTAACTTATTTTAAGATGACTTGTAACGTAGGCTGATTCACCGTTCCTGTATTTTCTGTCACATGACCCAGAGTTAGACCTTCATATTAAACCTGCACAGTTTAGAAAAATAATGAGTAAACGTATCTAAAGGAAATCCCTGTGAGCCAAACACTCAAACTTCAGATTGCTCTGAATGCTTTGATTCCATCATTTGGTGCCAGTATAGCTTCTTGAAGGGGGTGACCTTCAAGAAACAGTCCCTGGGTGGGATAAATAAAGGTCAAGACTGAAACTCTAGAGGTGGAAATGAGCAGATTGGAGTCGCTCAGACAAACACTTTACAGCTACAGACGGACAGCGTCGGCGTGTTTCAGATTCTCCTTTCTTGTTCCAGCAGCTTTTATCTTAAGGTTGCATCATTTTGTTAGGAAGGCTTTGATCACTGACTGACTGATGGAAACTTGTTGTTTTTCTCTCATCAGTCTGAAATTTGGGATCCTGAATATAAAGTGTTATTAAAGGAACGTATTAGACTCCTGTGTAAACTGCTGACTAGAGCAGGGCGATATGGCCAAAAATATTTATCACGATATATATTTGAAAATTTGCAATAACGATATAACTGACGATATAATTGATGCGAGACAAAATACAACTCCACAACATTACTAGCGCAAAAAGACAACCTTCATTTATTTTCACTTAAACAAGAAGCTGGTTTTTATGTACATTAAAGCTTTATAAAAATGTAACAGTGCAAATGCAAATTCCTTGCTGAAAGTTTAACCAAAAGGCATTTCCAGTAGAAATGGGCTGACATATCCTGAGCATAACCATGTATAATATCCACTGAAGTTAAAAAGAGGTGCTTTGCAACATTAAACTGCAGTGTGCAGTCTAGTATTTTTCGGACCATAAGGTGCACGGGATTATAAGGCACATTAAGCGAAACAAAGCAGTCAGATAAATCAAACTTTATTAACTCATTCTTCTTGCTTCCTCCACTTCTGTACCATTGATTCATTAATGTTGAATTCTCTGCAGCTGCTCTATTCCCATGTTGTTGCAGTATATTAATGACTAACCTCGTATTGTGGATGGATTATCTCAGTTGTTCTCCTGACTGAAGTTTGGTCCGTTTACAGCATCCTGCCATGCGATTGCATTTGTCCTAACCATCGGAACCTCTCGTTAACTTTTATAAGTGGAAAAGTGTTAGTGTTCGTCCTCCAGCTTCACTGTTTATGTTATGCTAACATAGCTGTGTCGCTAGCGATCACGTAGCACATCATTATATACCAGCTAGCCCAACTTCAGTAACCCTACAAACGTCACTGCTGTTTAGTTTTCTGTCTTCATTTATGTTGGAAGTGATAGCAGAGCTGTACGTTTGATTTTTTTCAGAAATCTCTCAGTCAGAACATGCTATATCATGCTTAGGTAACTAGCGAAACTAGCGAGCTAACTTCCGCTAGCTTCCTGCTAACTTCTAACTCCGTTAAATGTAATAACTTTTGTTTTCATGGATGCCTGGAAGTTAAACTTTATAGTTACACCTGGTATAAGCAGCAATGCTGATCGTTTTATTAAAGATGAAAGAATTTAGACAGTTTTTAACTCTCAGTGATGCTGCAGTGTTGTTTGACCTGAAGCATACGAGTTTAGGACCCAGATTACTCCCAGATTTAAGAGCATCTTAGTCCGACAAATACGACAATAACGACGGCCGCTTGCATGTTCTGCAAAAAAATGTGCTTTGTTGTGTATCTGACGGACAAACACCAAACCAGTTCCACATCACTGAAGTTGCACCATTTTTACAAACCAATTCTGGTTCATCTGTTTCACTCAACAATCGGCCATGTGCGTATGAAAACAAAGGCACTGCGCATGCGCGTTTTACTCCCATTCTATCGCGATATTTCATTTTCCTATCGTTGCCTAACATTATACCGGTATTACCGTGAACGGTATAATATGGCCCAGCCCTACTGCTGACTTTGCTCTAATGTGCTGCAGGTTACACGCTCGATATCGTGAGCTGGCGCCACATTTAGTGCCGCTGGACTACACCAACAACCCCGACATCAAAGTCCCGATGACGCTCATCGTCACCATGCCTGAACTGAAGGTACAGTTTGTACAGGTCAAAATTCTGCTGGCTGATGCAAGACTTTAAAACAAATGTGTCTCACATCCCGGTTTTTGTTGGCCGTTATGTTCAACTGTGTGATGTTTTGCGTCTGTGCTGACAGGAAAACCCGTTTAGAGAGAGAATCGTGGAGACGTTCTCCGAGGACGGACAGGGGAACCTGAGCTTCAGCGACTTCATCGATATGTTTTCTGCCCTCTGCGAAGCTTCACCCAGAGAGCTCAAGACCATTTACGCCTTCAAGATATACGGTAACGTGCGCCTTCAGGTGGAGAAGCTCGGGTTGGGTCTGAGATGACACACCTGTGGCAGCAATGTGCCTCGGCGAGTACTCGCTTCAGCCTTATGGTCTCACAGAATAAGTGCTGTTTTCCCGATTTAACCAAAAATAGCATGACTATATAAAAGATTATTTTAATTAATTATTTCAACTTCGTAAGTATATAATTAAGAGAAAATTATTAATTCCTGCAAAATAATTATTATAATTTCTGAAAATATTAAAAGAAAGTAAAATGTTAATATACACAAATCTCTCCTAAATGTAAATAAAATGGCCAAAAATATGTGAATAAAAGAATTATCATTCAAAATAATCAAAAAATTTAAATAATTATTATTAGTCTAAACATTATTCTTCTAAATATTAATTAAATGTCACTAAATTAACATTAAATGTCTAAATAGATTTAAATGGTCTCAAAATAATATATGAAAAATCTAAATAAAGTCTAAAAAAATGTATAATTTACAAAATGATTTCATTATTTGCAGTTATTACTGTTGATTACATGGAGATTATTCGTAGAATAAGTTCAGGTTTTCGTGGCAGCTCAGTACTGAGTCGTCTCGTTGGGGATCTGGTCCAGACTTTAACAGGGACAACTTCATCTGTAAGGAGGACCTGGAGAAGACCCTGAACAAGCTGACCAAAGGGGAGCTGACGCCCGAGGAGGTCACGCTGGTGTGTGACAAAGCCATCGAGGAGGCCGACCTCGACGGAGACAACAAGCTCTCATTCGCCGACTTTGAGAACATGATCTCCAAGGCTCCTGACTTTCTGAGGTACCGTCACCTCTTCGGTTATGTGTTCATTTTTTAAAGTAAGGCAGAGACGTGGCTGCTCCTCTCCCACAAACCTCCACAGTGACAGCGCAAAGTTAGAAAAGTATGTGATTGGTTTTTTAATCCTTAATTTCTGTGTTTGGAATCGGTCCAAAGTGTTTTTTGCTGCTCAGACTGTTGTCTGACTGTTTCTTATATTTCCCCTCCAGGCTGTCATGGGGTGCTGTTGCCAGCTCATCACAATAATGTCACATTACACATCAGCTCTGTGCTCTCTGCTCTTGAAGCAGCATTTTTTGGAGGAAAATATGCTTTAGGGTCAGTTTTCTTCTGTTCTGCCGGCAGTATCACTAAAACACGATGATCTGCAGGGTTATCAACAGTTTTCATCCATCCACCACAAAAGCACACACTATTTTAGCCTTTTAACTCACAGTCAGCCGTACAGACTGTGCTGCGGCTCAGTATGATCCTCCCACTAATGCAGCGGTGTCAAACTTACTAAATGAGTCTTACTGTGCGCTGGAAGATATTTGTAGTTCTTGTTTGATCTGCTGCTCAACACACATCAGTTGTTTCACGATTGAGGCTGAACTGAGGGGCTGCATGAAGGGACAGCATCAAATCAATGAGAAGCTTCACCGTGAAGCTGCCGGCGGGATGTCTCCTGAAAGGACAGAGGATGGTTGTGATCCAGGTCCTGATCCAGGTCCTGATCCAGGTCCTGATCCAGGTCCTGATCCTGGCTGTGAGTGTTTCTCACTCAGGCTGCTGAGTCTTCTGCTGCTCTGCATAAAGCTGCAGAGATAAAACCCACGAGTTTTACTGCTGGCAATCCATCACAGTGTCCCACAGTGAGCACAGAGGAGGGGTGAAGGGAGAGACAAGGGGAAGAAGAGTAGAGTGAGGAGGAGGAGGGTGCATTTATCAAGTCATTGAGTTCAGTCATTAATTTGTCCATCACACTGGACCGCCGCTCAGAGATAATAGCTGGAAACTGGGCTCAAGGGTTGGTGTTACTATGGCAACAGAAGCAGTTAAACTGTAAAAAGAGAAAGCTGGAAAGCCATTATGTTTACTAGCAGGTACATCACCTCCCGCGTCACCCTGGTTACGGTCGGCCAGTTAATCTGACGTCACAAAGCCGAGCAGCTCGACTGTCATAAACGTCGGCATGAACGCGCGTCTGCAAGGTGCGGCGTGCAGATAGCAGCATTTATGCTCGTCCAGTCATTTATGTCCGCTTACAACAGACTCTGCAGCACCTGCTGCGGACCCCCAACTGGCCGGCCCTCCCTGAGCCCGGTTCTGCTAGAGTTTTCTTCTTGTTAAAAGGGACTTTTTCCTTCCCGATGTCACCAAGTACTTGCTCATAGGGGGTCGTCTAATTGTGGAAGTTTTCTCTGTAGCACTGTGGGGTATTTACCCGACATTGTAAAGTAGTTTGAGGCAGCTCAAAGTGAGCATGTTTTCCAGTCGCTCTGCCCTGGAGGTGAATCCTATGAAACATTACATGCAAAGATAATTGTCAGAGTTTTAATTTAAAGAGTAAAAACAGACTCCTGACAGCAACTGAGATGCACCATTACCATCCTGCAGTTGATACAACGAGGCTAAATTTCCCAGTTTCATCCAGTTACAGCCTGAGAGGTTCAAACAGTTAATGATGATTCAGTCAGTCCTAGAAGTCACCCACATCTGCTTGCTTTGTGTCTTCAGCAATTTCCACATACGAATATGAGGCAGCTGAGATCCTGCAGAGGAAAGACGTCTCTCTTCGACCCCGATTCCACCTGAACCTCGGACCCAGCTCGACTCAGTGCCTGTCCTTTCTACTGCCGGCGGGGAGTCTTCTTTCCTGAAAGATCCTGAGACCTGGACTGTCTCGATCACGCAGTCATTCCAGAGGGGATACGGTTACTGCATGAAGCCTCTCTCTGGGATGGATTTTGAACTCAGCTTAGACAGGGCTGACTTTCTTCTCCCCTGTGGACGTTTCCGATTTTCTGAGAAACATCTGTGAGGACGGCGCCGCAGTGGATACAGAACAGGGCTTTTCTGAATTTAGTGCTTTTCAGAAAGGCCTCATCCAAAACTGGATTCTTTTTAAAAGCACATCTTTAAAGGGCAAAACAGTGAGGAGCTATGCAATCTTTCTCCATAAAGTGCATGTTGTAAATTGCTTCTAGCTGGTGAATTTGTACATCTGGTTTAGTGAAGCATTCTGGTGCATAACGACAATCATAGTAAACTGTAGCTCAGTTGATGGAAGGGCTCTCTCTGTCATCTCACCTGTACTCCTGGCTTTGATAAAACTTTTTCCTGCCTCCTACTAACTTGATATGACAGCTTTCACTCTTTCAAGACAAAATATTTTATGGCTAGAATCAAATAAAAGGTTGTTCTGTCACTCGATGCTTCACGAGGCTTCTTGTCTGAGAAAACCGATCCAGGTTCAGGCAAGGGCGCGAGCTGTTCCTCATCCTGCAGCTAAACACATCAGGTCTTAACATTGGTTTGTACCATCAAGTGTCTAGAGGAAGAACAGGAGGAGGTCCAGGAATGCTGTTGGTCTGCAGCTTTGAAGGTCTGAAGGTTTGCTCTGCTACAGGAAGACACTTCAAAGCACCTTTCACTGTAAGCCTTTCTCTTAATGCACAATTTATATGAGAAATGATTTACAATACTGCATAGTTTCACCTAGTAGGACTCTCACTGGGCTGTTGGTTACAGGGAGCACTGTCATGCTGGGGGAGGAGGTGGAGGAGCTGCAGTTTGGATGGGCCGTTCAGTCGTTACACTTTTAGAGCCTGCAGATAACACGCTATCTCAAACTTATCACTTTTGATTTAAATACTCTGCTAATTCACCGAAAGATTCAAACCCCACAAAAATCATTTTATCACAAATCTATTTATAATATAACTTTCCTTCCAGTTCACCCAGCTCAAATGTCTTCAAAAGATTTTTCCCCTAAAATTCTGAACGAGGACTGCAGAAAAGCAGCCAAGAGGAATTATTGGCTGGAATCATTTGCATTATCTGTACCCAGTCATGTCTAACAATAGAGGAATGACTACTCCTGTTCTGACCTCTAGAGACGTGATCCAGTCTACAGATCAGTTAGCGTAGCTGCTAGTGGTCTCCTATTAACTGTGGGGTCAGAGCCAGCTGTAGTGATTCAAGGAATAAGAAATAGATGTGTAAAGACGGAGCTTCAGACATCCGTCTGTACTAAGAGGCCTGGAATTACTGGGAAACTAGAAGGTACAAGATGAGTTCACCTCTCCTTCACAGTACAGTCAGCTGGCTGTGAGTTTGAACTCTGGGTGGTGTGAATAAGCTGAAGCGCCTCCTCCTGCAGCTGCTGTTCAGGTCAGGCTGCAGAGGCACATCCGTCCTGATTATCATGAGCAGCCAACTGTAGTGAAGACACGGCGTTCCTGCTGCTGCAGCACAGCAGCCTTCATCTGCTGGATTACACAACCTCCACCAGGACACACCTGACATTTACAGGTACAGCACACTGCACGCAGGGCAGGATGAGCACCCCGCAAGGCCACCAGTCTGTAATGATCTATGCAGCATATGCTAATCTCAACCAGGATAACAAAAAGATTAAATGTCGATTTTTGCCAAACGAGGTTTCTCTCTCTGCAGTGATGGTGGAGAAACGTGAGGTTAGCATACTGAGTCAGAAGAGTCACAACAACAATAAACAGGAAGTCAGTAATGTTAGTGTGTCAGCAGGTGGAGCTGCAGTAGTAGCACTTTAGTAGCACTCTAATTTGAATCGTTGACTGATGCCCTCAGACTAACAACTAATTTGAACTCAAACACTTAAAAAACAAAACATTAAAAAAGGAAAAGGAACATTTTTGTGGGTAAATTGTCATCATGTTTTTCAATACAACCTGCTGAGACAACATGAATTTATTTCTATTTTATAGCACAGTCCTGTGAAAAGGCACGTTTTAGCAGGACTCTATGCAGTCATGTGTAAAACTAAGCAAACATACTGCTTCCATTGGAATTAAGATGCTGCTAATCAAATGCACTTAGCTGATCATCTATAAATTTGAGCAACTCTATAAAAGCAGAGGTTTTGACATTTTGCCGTTGTGCATTAACACAATCACAAAGGAGTGGACGTCTCAGCAAATTCACACCAAGGTCAGACAACTTAAGACTTCTTTGTTATCAGTATGATTTTTTTTTTCCCTTTTGAAAAACCCGTGAAGGTGTGGCAGGACTGTGGGAGAACAGACGGAGAGCAGGTACCAGGACCTGAGAGCAAAGAACCAACTTGCTCTGAGGTCGCAGTTCTAATCACTGTACTCATCTGAAATCAAACCGAGTCTGTAAGTATACCTCAAAACTAACAGGACACGTGGATTATCACCAGTAAGGTGCTTTTGTTGTCCATGTGGTGTCTATGCTGGAGGTGAAGCAGGTAAAGTCTGCAGACTACACGCTGCCAGACTTTAAATAACCACAGAGGAGAGTGTGTGATATTAGATTGTTGTGTAACTGAAGCTGAGGAACATCGACGTGTTGGCAGGATGAAACAGCAGCTGATGATCAGCAGATAGCAACAACATCGACCTGTTTTCACTGACAGAAACATGAGACCAGTGTTGATCTGAGGTCAGTAGAATTTTAGCAGGAGCTGCGCTTCACATCCAACTCACAATTCATCCACAGAACAAGTCATCCAGCAGTGCTTCTAGTTTTTAGCAATCACGTGTGTGTAATCAGCAGTGAACACATGGAGTTGAATTCATCCTCAGAAAGTGACAAAAATAATTTGCAATAAAATAAAATACTCCACGGATCAACAAGATAATAATATAAAGAAGAAGAAAAATGATGACTAACAGACACCTTCCACACCGTGCTGGCTGTGTTGTGCCGTTTATTGTTTGCAGGTAGCTGTTCTGCTGTGTTACACTGACACCTGGTGGCGAGTGGTGGATTTACTGATAAACGTTTCTGTACTGAAACAGTAAAACGATTAAATAAGCACTGACCGAACTATTAGTGACCGGTGTGGTCGCAAAACCATGTTCGTTCGTTTGTTTTGTCAGATTTTATCCACCGTGCTGATGGACCCGGGAACTAATACGTTTCACAGTTGTGTGTATACAACCTTTACGTCCAAAATCCGGGGGATGTGACGTCAGAGGCGATGCTAGATTTGAGGTTTTAACATGAAACCTATAGACGATTCGTATGTAAATAAACGGATCGTTGTACAGCGAAAAAACCCTCCCCCAACAGCTTACATAAATCATATCAGGGAGGTCATGTCTGCTCGACTTTTAAATAATGAAATTTCCGACGATGTAAGCACGTGGTTCCATGGTGTAATGGTTAGCACTCTGGACTCTGAATCCAGCGATCCGAGTTCAAATCTCGGTGGAACCTGCCCTCATTTTTCTCCTGATACACAGGAATAAATCCATCAAGTATAAAAAATAAAATTGACTGAATAAAGTCACAGCAGTCAGTAGAAGCGCAGCCCTGTGCGCAAGTGTCATAGGACCAGCTGACATTCATACCTCATATCTTTACTTTTTGATATGAAATACAAGAAATACATGCAGTGGTTTATTGAAAAGAGCAAATATAAATGTAAATGCAGCAGTCCGGTTTCTATGACCATCTTTATTCTTCAACACAACCTTAACTCTGTTAAGCATTTAAAAAAAATCTTATTCAGGAATAGATTTACAGGCTTGTTGAATCCCGCACTGCTTCGATAATGTTGAGCTTCAGGCTCTGGGGAGGCTAATCCATGACTGATAATGTTCCATTGTGTGTTTTTATATCCAAGAATGCTTTTACTGCACTGGCACTGTGTTTGGAGTCCTTGTCCCAAACACTGAAAAATGGTTAAAAAAAAAAGAAGAAGTTGTTTTCTGTCAGGTTTTTCCAGATGATGTTGCATGGTGGATCACCTGAGAAGCTCCTTCAGTCCTAAAAGCAATTGGTGGAGAGTCCCAGATTTTAAGCCCTATGGGAGTGTCTCCAAGAGGATCATGGACCCCCACTGTTCCTCTGCCTAATCACCCAAGCCAAGGTGTGAAAATGGGTGTCGGTCACAATCAGGCAAGGTTTCGGGTGAACCCATTGTGAAACCTAGTCCCACCCTGCTGTGTGATTTACTGAGGTCAAAAGGCCCAGGATGTGAGTGGGTGTTAAGGCGTCTGTGAAGTGAGAACCATTTCAGGTGACTACATCATGGAGCTCATTGAGAAAAGGCCAAGGGTTTGCAGCGCTGTCAACAAAGCTAAGGGTGGTTCAGGAATCTAAAAGACTTATTTAGAGTTATTTATCAGTTTTTTCTTTGCTACATAATTCTTGCTTCATATATTTGATATCTTCAGTATGCATCTACAATGTAGAAAGCAATAAAAATAAACACAAAAATAAACAAAATGAGAAGGTGTGTCCAAACTGTTGACGGGTCTGGCTCCTTGGAAGCAAAAGATAAAGAAGTGAAGTGTGGCTCAAGAGTTTTACACAGTACTTCACTTCTTTAACTTTTAAGATCAGGTGATTAGCTTGAGTAATCACATACATTTCATAGTCAAGCACAAAGACAAATGTAAGAGAATGTGCACAGAAACAAAGCAGGGATGTTTGATGTTCCACATGTCTCTCGTGGTTAACGGCTCATTATTTTAAACATTGTAAATGAGAAGCAGTGATGTCTCAAGCTGCTGTCTCCTTATTTGCCCCTTAAACTGAACATGACCCCTCACTTTGTATAGTGGTGAGGATTCGGGCCACCAGTCAGACGTTTGGAGGTCCAGATTGAGCCAGACTGTGGGTGATCCTCTCTGTTTATCAGATCATAGATTTAAAGTCTTAGTTCCTCATTAAAACGCCTAATGTCCTCATTAAATCTCCTTCATTAGTGGAAACAAAGCAGGAATGACACAGAGGGTTGCAGTCCTGGCAGAATGGATGGACAAGGTCAACCTGACCTGAACACGACCTTGATGTTACCTCATCGGTGATTTATGCAGGAGTTCATGCTCTGGATTTATCAGCAGGAAATCAGTTCTAACTGGACAAACCGTCCGCTCTCAGCAGTCTGTCAGCAGTCTAAGAGCTGAAGCGAAATCACCTTATCAGCCTAGAGGAGAGAAAGGCCCATTTAATAGAGCTGCAGGTCAGACTGAGGAGGTCATAATGAGCTTACAAAAGAGCCGTTTGGCAAAAATAAATAAAAAGAGTGCACAGTGCAGAGCATATGGTTTCCCTGGTATGCAAAAGGAGACGGTTTAATGTGTGCAGTGTAAAAGCTAAAAAAAAATGTAACGTAAGGGATGAATATCAGAAGTACAAAGTTAAATGTGGCTACAGCTTCGAGGGACAAAGCTTTGAGACTCACACACCTGAGCCCGACTCCTTCTTCTTCTGTCGTTCACAAGAAACCAAAAATCTAGACATTGCTCATTCTCACTTCATGTGTTTGAACATGTGTGCTGCTCTTACAGTCTGGGCTCTGCTGGCTTCGGTGCTTCCAGCAGATCATAAATCTGCAGCAGTGATTCTTTGCAAAAAATCTGGATTTGGATCATCACCGATGTGTTGGACCGGGCTGAGGTGTTAACACGGCGCAGAAAAGTTAGACAAATATTACTGTCAGCGCCGTCAAACACGTACCAGGGTTCGTTTGATGTCACGGTAGATCTTTCACCATGGATGAAAAAAAATTAGGAGGCTGTGTAAAATGTTAATAATGACAGAATTCAGCTGTTTACAAATCCTTTACATCTAATTTTTATGTGCGAAAGGACCTTTACCCTGCTGACTCTGGAAAAGTACTGTTTTAATTCTTTTAGACCTGAGTGCAGCACTGTTGATCACACAATCCTATGAAACCGTTTGAAGACGTGCGTCGGCATCCAAGGCTCTGCTCTAAAATGGTTTGCCTCTTACTTAGAGAGCAGAACTCCTTGATGCAGGGCAACAAAACTCTTCCCCTGCTACACTTACTTGTGGAATACCTCAGGGCTCTATTCTGGGCCCCGTCTTATTCTCCTTATACATGCTCCCATTAGGCTCTATTTTTCAGAAACACCAAATTTCCTATCACTCTTATGCAGATGATACACAGTTCTACCTCTGTCTAAAACCATGTGCTGATAGCACATTGCAGAAAGGTTCAGATTTTCTTAGCAATATTAATTGCTGGATGTCTTTGAACTTTCTCAAACTAAACCATGACAAAATTGACATTATCATTTTTAGCGACTAAGACTGTTAGTCTCATAAGAAATGTCTTGGGCCCATTATCAGCTATTGTACATCCCCATGTACATCTGAGGACTTTTGGTGTTGTTGAGTTTCCTGCACTCCTTCTTTTTAGGAATGTATCAGACTGTTGATTTGAACACTCCTACATTTTTTTGCTATCTCTCTGATAGCTTTATTTAGGTTTGTCAGCCTAATGATGGCCTCCTACACGTGCATCACTGATATGAAGTTCAACTTGAAATAAACTCTAGATATTTATCTCCTTAATTTGTCATGAAATAATGAGTGAACAGACCTCACCTGGCCATGAACCTGCCTGTCAGCCAGTTGTCCAATTAATTTTGAGGCTTTAAAATGAGAGACAACAGTTCATGCAATACTTTTGTCAAACTCTTGAGTTGAAGCTAAAAGTCTGCACTTCAGTCAGGTCTACTGTGGTAGTGTACAGAGTGAAAACCACAACAAGTCACTCTAAGTTGCACTTTTTATATACAGCGGTCCCTCGTTTATCGCGGGTGTTACCTTCTAAAAATAACCCGCGATAGGTGAGGTAGGG